GTTGTTGATGGCTGCTGTGAGACCTTGGTTGTTGCCTTTTTAGTTTAAAAGGATTCAAATGAGACATGCAGCAAAGGAGATGCAGTATATGGCAATTTATTGCAAATAAAAAAGAGTATTTTGAAAGTTAAATGCAGAACAGACAGTATGCCCTGAGAGAGCGAGAGAGAGGATTCGGGGCAGGCTGCTCATAAGGATGAGACAGCAAACTGGCACTAGGGAGACTTTTTTTTTTTAAGTTTAATAATTAGACTTTGGCTCTTTTGAGTGTTTTCAAGTCTGCTGTGGAGGAAGGGGGTAGGGGGAAGGTGGATATGCCCTGAGAGGCAACAGACTCCAGAACATTCCAGATACAGCCCTTCAGAGGCTGGCTAGTATTAAGGAAAGTGGTTAGGTTTGTGAGGTGTAACAGTGAATGATTGTGGCTTTTCCACAGTGTGTGCACTCAGGCCAGCTTGACTTGGAGGAATGCCATTCAACACTCTTAAAATGGCGCCATCCAGCCCTGGAGGTAACTGTGAAACAGGGTTTGTGCCTCCTCCATCATCCTCAGGGCACTGTGTGTTTCAGGATACTCTGTGGCACTGCTTTATTTCTTTTCTTTCCTTTTTTTTTTTTTGTTTGGACGGAGTCTTGCCTGTTGCCCAGGCTGGAGTGCAGTGGCACGATCTCGGCTCACTGCAAGCTCCGCCTCCCGGGTTCACGCCATTCTCCTGCCTCAGCCTCCTGAGTAGCTGGGACTACAGGCACCTGCCACCATGCCCGGCTAATTTTCTTTTTGCATTTTTAGTAGAGACGAGGTTTCACCATGTTAGCCAGGATGGTCTCGATCTCCTGACCTCGTGATCTGCCCGCCTTGGCCTCCCAAAGTGCTGGGATTACAGGTGTGAGCCACTGTGCCCGGCCTCTTTTTTTTTTTGAGATGGAATCTCGCTGTCGCCCAGGTTGGAATGCAGTGGTGAGATCTTGACTCACTGCAAGCTCTGCCTCCTGGGTTCAAGTGATTCTTTTCCCTCAGCCTCCCAAGTAGCTGGGACTACAGGTGCATGCCACCATGCCCGGCTAATTTTTTTTATTAGTGGAGACGGGGTTTCACCATGTTGGCTAGACTGGTCTTGAACTCCTGACCTTGTGATCCGCTCGCCTCGGCCTCCCAAAGTGCTGGGATTACAGGTGTGAGCCACCATGCCTGGCCGGGAGACTCCTTTTATGGGCATCTTACATGATTATTCATAAGGGGCTGGGAAGAGGTGTTACTAGTAAGCACATTCTGGGTGGTCTTTTGGGTGTGTATGCACAGTAGCTGCATATTCTTGTTCATACCTCTCATCTCATTAGCATCTTAAATCGCCACCCAGGGGTGTGGTTTTTACTATTATAATGAGCAAAGGGTCAATCTGAAGACAGGTAAAATCAAAATACGCATGTTCCCTACAGGGGAAATTCCCTACTGGAGAGAGCTTTGCTTGAATGAGCTTGACTACAGTGCGAATGCTGAGGCTTATTGTGTTGACTGTACGATTACCAAGTCTCCAGGACATGGTTACTTCTTTGGCTACCTATCCTGTCTCATGGTCCTCCCTCACTTCACACCCATGATGTATGCTAACACCCTCTGGTTATCTGTTTAGAAGGGATAACTTTTCTTTTTTTTTTGAGATGGAGTCTCACTCTGTTGCCAGGCTGGAGTGCAGTGGCACGATCTCAGCTCACTGCAACCTCTGCCTTCTGTGTTCAAGTAATTCTCCTGCCTCAGCCTCCCGAGTAGCTGGGACTACAGGCACGTGCCACCATGCCCAGCTAATTTTTGTATTTTTAGTAGAGACCGGGTTTCACCATGTTGGCCAGGATGGTGTCGATCTCCTGACCTCACGATCCGCTTGTCTCAGCCTCCCAAAGTGCTGGGATTACAGGCGTGAGCCACCGCGCCCGGCCTTGAAGTTATAATTTTAACTTTCCCTGCAGAACACTCATAAACATAAGTTAAGGATTGCAACGTTTTGTTCACAAACAAATCTTCCAGACTGTGAGGGTTAAGCAAGAGAAATGGAAAATAATAATAATGCGATACAGATTTTCCTAACTATAAAAAATTGAGGAAACATACTACAAAATATGGAATGATTGCCCTATAATTCTACCTGGGCTGGAGGTTCAAGAAATGGACAGAAGGGGTCACTACATCCTCAGGAAAGAATTTCCTGATTTTAATAGTAGAGCAATGTCAAAGGAGAAATATGTGCTGTAACATGGGAACTTCAAAGTAGGATGAATGAAGGAAATCTTACCCCCCTAATAATATGGAATTTATGCAGAATCAATTTTTACTTCAGAAGGTCAGTAAATTCTGCTTTCATCCAATGTCTTTACATGTAGAATTATTTTTCATTATCATTGTTCTTACCTTTTGTAGTGATTACTGTTGTTTATCAAGTAAATGATAACTCATGACCATCAGCATCACTTTTCTTGTGATATGTCTAATTTTCAGTGATGTACAAAAATATCAACTACAGCTTTCATATTCTTGCATTCTTGGGGTATTTTATTACATGTGTAACAACTCTTGGGATTCCACACATAACAATACATTCTTAGGATTATTACTTTGCCATTGGTAGTCACTGGGTTTGTCCACTTCCTGTATGGTGTTATTTGCAAAAGAAACACACTACATTTTTATATGTTGTAGGTCCAACAACCTATCAACCGATTATTTCACAGGTAAAGAAATATACATTTAGTCTTTTATACTTACAATATTCTTTAATAGTCATCTTTGTTTTCCCCTTTTTGCCATCATTTGATGTCAGACTGAAGAACTTTCTTTGGTCTTTCTCGTAGGACTTGTGTGCTGGAAATAAGTTCTCTTAGTATGTATGCTTAAACCTGGGAAAGTCTTTGTTTTGACTTGTGATTTGAATGTGAGCTTTGGTGGATATAGAAATGTTCTATTATATATGTTTCAGAGTAGAGGAATAGCACCTAACTAAAGCAAATATGTCTGTTTCACCCAAACACTTATCATTACACTAGTCTATATAAGTTAATGTCAAAAAACAATGAGCAATAGGAATAGGATGGAAGAAGGAAATACTGTGATTGAAGATGAAACCGTTGTTTGGGAAAGTAAAGACAAAACAACTGGAAAACTTTTTAAACTGGGGAGGGAGGCAGTTTGCTGTTTATGGACCAAACATATGATTGAATTAAAATCACATTTTTTGAAAATGTATATTAATTTCTGAGAATAGGACTAACACCATATGCCGTATCTGTGGAAAGGTATGAGTATTTCCTGATGAAATGACTGGCATGTCACCTCTATAGGTTTATATACGACTTTGGATTGAAGGCTCCTCATCCCAACCCTCACTGTAGAGAAATGGTTTAAATGTAAGTAATTCAGGAATCTGATCCAAATTAACTCGTGTATCATGTTGCAGAAAAATTCACAACATTGAAGAAATGTTATAAAATTTATACTTTTTTTTTTTTTTTTTTTTTTTTCTGATAGAGGGTTACACTCTGTCACCCATGCTGGAGTGCAGTGGTGTGATCTCAGCTCATTGCAGCCTAGACTTAGACTCCAGAAAGCCTCTTGCCTCAGTCTCCCAAGTAGCAAGGACTACTACACACATGGGCCAACACACATGACTCATTTTTTAATTTTAATTTTTTTTTTTTTGTAGAGACAGGGTCTCACTATGTTGTCCAGTCCAGACTGCCACAAACTCGTGAGTTCAAGCAATCCTCCAACCTCAGCCTCCCAAAGTGCTGGGATTATAGGCCATTGCTCCTGGCTTATTTTTAAATTTAATTTAATTTAATTTTATTTTTGAGATGGAGCCTTGCTCTGTCGCCCAGGCTGGAGTGCAGTGGTGCCATCTCAGCTCACTGCAAGCTCTGCCTCCTGGGTTCACGCCATTCTCCTGCCTCAGCCTCCCAGTAGCTGGGACTACAGGCGCCTGCCACCACGCCCAGCTAATTTTTGTACTTTAAGTAGAGACAAGGTTTCACCATGTTGACCAGGCTGGTCTTGAACTCGTGACCTCAGGTGATCTGCCTGCCTCAGCCTCCCAAAGTGTTGGGATTACAGGCGTGAGCCACTGCGCCAAGGCTATTTTTAATTTTTTTAGTCATGGTTTAGCTAGATCACTCAGGCTGTTCTAAAACTCCTGGACCCAAAAGATCCTTCCCGCCTCAGCCTCCCTCTCGGGTAGCTGGGACCACAGGTACTTGCCAACTCGCCCAGCCTTTTATTATCAGTGCCTAATGCTTAAGGAGGATGTGGGCTACTTTTTACTTTCAGATAAAAAACATTGAGGTGAGATAATTGTTAATTTTTTTTTACACAAAGTTTCTTTCTTTTTTTTTTTTTTTTTTTTTTTTTTTTTTTTTTTTGAGACAGAGTCTCGCTCTGCCGCCCAGGCTGGAGTGCAGTGGCGTGATCTTGGCTCACTGCAAGCTCCGCCTCCCGGGTTCATGCCATTCTCCTGCCTCAGCCTCCCGAGTAGCTGGGACTACAGGCACCCGCCACCTCGCCCGGCTAGTTTTTTTGTATTTTTTTTAGTAGAGACGGGGTTTCACCGTGTCAGCCAGGATGGTCTCGATCTCCTGACTCGTGATCCGCCCGTCTCGGCCTCCCAAAGTGCTGAGATTACAGGCTTGAGCCACCGCGCCCGGCCACACAAAGTTTCATAACTTGAATAGTTTCTCGCTTAAAGTGTTTAATTAAAATTTTTTTTCATTTTGTAGTCCCTTGGATCTTGGAGTTGATTGAAGTGTATTTTTAATAGCCAAGTAGATTCACTTTAATATGGTTTAAAAATTGTTGGGTATATAAGGGGCATTTGAAACATCAGATTTTTGTATTTGCTGTGATTTTCCTACTGGCCGGTGTGCCAGGTACCGGATATCCTCCCGAACTGCAGGCAGGCCCGTCTCTTTCCTGTGAGAGTCACAACCACCTCTTGGCGGAAGCGGAAACCCTTTCCTCCATCACGTTTCGCCCCTTGCAGGCCGGAAGCAGGCCTGCTCGCCTGGGAGCATGTTTGGTCGAATCTGGGTTGGGCGGCTTGGTCGCAGTGTGCCTGTGCTAGACTCGCGGCGCATTCATCGCGGCGCCCACAGCCACTCCAGTTCTCTGGTTGTTCTCGCGCGCCAGGAGCCGTGGGCCAGGCCATCAGGCCATACAAGTGCTGCTAAAGCGGCCTCGCCTTAGGCTGCATCATCTCGGGGATGTTTCACTTGTGTCTTCTCCCAGTTTCAGCCCCAGCCCCTCGAACCCACCGGGTCTCCACATCGCACTCTGATCAATATCCCACAGGTGAGGAATATGAAATACTCTCTAAAGTGCAGGCTGGTAAGTCGTTCTTTTCAAACTTTAACAAGAAACTACAGATCTTTTTAAAAGATTCTGATTCAGCAGGTCATTGGGGAAGGCCTGATGCTCTGCATTTCTGACTCGGTCCTCAGTGTAGTCCATGCTGCTGGTCCACGGACCGCAGTTAGAGTGCTGAGATAACAATAGACCTGGTTAGGCAGGCAGGCGGGGAACTGATCCCATGGAGCCTGGTGGGCCATATTGAGGACTTTTACTGGATTTCGAGCAGAGAAGCGATGTGTGGGTTGTGTTTTAAGAAGCTACAGAACAAGTTCTGCCGAGGTGGAAGCAAAGACAGGTTACCCGCTCTTCCTCTTTTGCCTCCCTGTCTGTTGCCTTGTCGCGGGTGAGCTATGACTATCTGGGCCGGTGGTGCGCCGGGGGTAAAAGAATTTACCAAGACAGTTGTAGGTAAAGGAAGGCAGGTTTATTAGATATAAGTGTGAAAATTCGTTGCGAGGAGGCAACAGGCAGGCCAGCAGAAGAGAAGTTGAATGCAGGAAAACAGGCTTGCTGAGGATTTTATAGACTGGAACTTGGGCTGATCGATAACGCCAAGGCAGCAGGGAGCTAATTTGCATTTTTTCTGGCGGCTGTGGTGTTTGATAAATTGAGGCTTTTGATAAGCAGGAAGTTTGTGAGTTACGTATATGAGCAGGAGGGCCCTATGTCCTGGGCCATAAAGAAAGCAGGCCTATAGCTTATCTTCCTCTTTTTGTTTATATGTCCTGGACCATGAAGGAAGGCAGATTTGTAGCTTATTTACTTTATCTCTTTGCTTTCTGCTGCTGTCGCCAGCCTGATTTTTTTTCTCCCTTAATTAGGACTCTGTGCCTGATTGCTTTTCTCTGCCTTCCTTACTTGCAACTCCCAAGGTCATGTGTCCGTGAGAGCGGCGGAGGTTGTCGCCTCCTAACTCAGCCCCAAAATACACAAAAAAAGGGACTGGACGGGGCTAAGGCTTCAGAAAAGCGTGGGCCTTGAGTAAGATGTTGCAGCTGGTCCAGCACCCTCGTGCCCCATTGCCCAGGCCTTGGCAGTCCAGAATTGAGTAACACATACCTAGATAACCCTCCACTGGTAAACCTGGAGGAAGATCCATCCTGTAGGAGATGAGAGCCTGGGAAAAGGACATCACTATGGAGGGACCTGAAGTTGTAGTGGAGGTCAGTGGATGGGGTATTGGAAGTGGCTTGGGGAGACCGGGAGATGAGTTTAAAGACCTCAGGTGCCGGTGGGTAAAGTTCTGACAAAGGAACCAGTAAGAAATAGGAGTCAGGTGATGAAACTGATCAGGACTGGGGAGAAAAAACAAGGACCCAACCTAGCGATCTAGATTAAACAATTATTCTGGGCAGGCAGGGGCAAGAAAGAGATAATGATCTGGAAAAAGAAATCGCCGGTGTAGGAGGGATACCAGCTGAGAAGAGTTGGTCCAAGGCTCTTAGTCTACACTTCACATCCTGGGGGGTGCACCTGGTGGGCAACTAGGAGAGAAGGAGGACCTGATGTCCAGTAAGGGAATCAGAATGTGAATGCAGTATTGCTGTGGGGAAGGAACCCAGGCCAGCTGAGCCACCTAAGTGAAAACAAGGGTCAGTGCCTAGGGATGGAAGGATCTGAATGGAAACTCACTTAAGGCCAGGTGGGGTGACCTGAGTAGCAAACAGGTAAAAGCTGGGGAGAAGGACCTGATTTGGATGAGGCCGCTCACTGTGATGTCTATGAAGCTATCATTCCAGCTGCTGCCCACCTGGGAGCAGTTGGTCAGTACAGTCAGCTGCGTGTCCCATCTTGTGTGTGAGGGCTGCCCTTCATGCCTGCCTTGATCACCGGCGGGAGACAGAGGACGTGGAAGTATGGGCTCTTTGGGGGGATGGTGCCTATGAGGAAGGTCTGATCCCAAATCTAGAGAATGGGAGTGTGGCTGTATCATGGATTGTCAGGCCAGGGGTCTGGAGGGTATCATGTCCTAAATGCAGATGTTTTCTGGGCTGGTAGCAGGGAGCTGAGACCCAGCCTGGTGAGGCTCCAGATGAATCAATAACACTGGCTCAGGAGAGCTGGTGTGGGATCTGTTAGACCGAGGGTCTGACTTCCTTACCTCCCACTCTACCTCTGTAGAAGTGTCTGTCTCTAGCATCATGTCAAAGCAACTGATGGCTTCCCTACCCCAGGCATCGCTGAGCTAAATTGGGTGGCAGGAAGGTGATCACCACCCAAGTACTCTTTTTTTTTTTTTTTTTAGACGGAGTCTTGCTCAGTTGCCCAGGCTGGAGTGCAGTGGCTCCATCTTGGCTCACTGCAAGCTCTGCCTCCGGGTTCACGCCATTTCTCCTGCCTCAGCCTCTCAGTAGCTGGGATCACAGGCACCCGCCACCACACCTGGCTAATTTTTTTGTATTTTTAGTAGAGACGGGGTTCACCGTGTTAGCCAGGATGGTCTTGATCTCCTGACCTCGTGATCCACCTGCCTCGGCCTCTCAAAGTGCTGGGATTACAGGCGTGAGCCACCTCACCTGGCCCACCAAGTACTATCTTATCCCTTGTCTCCTTTTCATCCCAGTCTGTGCCCACTGATCCCTTGGTTACTGGTCCCATTATCCACTCCAGCTCTTGGTACCTCTCTCCTGGGTACAGCTGAACCACCTGGGAGGAGCAGGCTAAGGAATTCTGGTGCCCCTCCTGCAGCAAGGCTATCAGTGGCCACAGAGGATCGGGGGATAGGCTGGAGTAAGTCCTACCCAGAGCAGGAGGGAGCCCCACGCAGTTCTCCCTCAGCTGTTAACTTCCCGGAGACCCACCTCACAGTCGAGAGCACCAACGGGCACTCCTCCCTCCACTCCCCTTACTGGGTCACCAGTTTCTTTCCACCCAGGCATTGTTCACTATCCCCAATTATTTCAATTCCCACGACTCACAGGAAGAAATAGGCATATTGTACTGAGATTTTCTAAATGACATAAAAATATGTATTCATGAAACAGTCTTTTCAAGATAAGGATCCCATCCCTACTGCTTCCTCTCTCTCAGCCCCCCTGATGGAATCTTGCAGTTTGTACTGTTCTGTCAGGCTCCTTTCACTCAGCATAATTGAGCTTCATCCGATAGTTTTTTGTGTTTTGTTTTGTTTTGTTTTGTTTTTGAGACAGAGTCTTGCTCTGTTGCCCAAGCTGGAGTGCAGTGGCGCGATCTCAGCTCACTGCAAGCTCCACCTCCCGGGTTCACACCATTCTCCTGCCTCAGCCTCCCGAGTAGCTGGGACTATAGGTGCCCGCCACCATGCCCAGCTCATTTTTTTTTTTTTTTTTGTATTTTTAGTAAAGATGGGGTCTCACCATGTTAGCCAGGATGGTCTCTATCTCCTGACCTTGTGATCTACCCGCCTCGGCCTTCCAGAGTGCTGAGATTACAGGTGTGAGTCACCGCACCCGGCCATCCAATAATTCTTTATTGTACATGAATAATATTCCATTTTCCAGAGTAAGCAAAATTTATTTCTCCAGCTATTGATGGATATTTGGGTTAATTTCAGTTTTTGGCTATTAAGAATTAAACATGAATATTCACATACCAGTGTTTGTAAGAACGTATCATATTTCTTTGTTTGAGACAGAGTCTCGCTCTGTAACCAGGCTGGAGTGCAGTAGTGTGATCTTGGCTCACTGCAACCTCTGCCTCTCGGGTTCACGCCATTCTCCTGCCTCAGCCTCCCGAGTAGCTGGGACTACAGGTGCACGCCACCACGCTCAGCTAATTTTTGTATTTTTAGTAGAGACGGAGTTTCACCATGTTGGCCAGGCTAGTCTTGATCTCTTGACCTCGTGATCCGCCCACCTCGGCCTCCTCAAGTGCTGGGATTACAGTTATGAGCCACCGTGCCAAGCTGATATTTCTTTAGAAGATTTTATTTTATTCTGCCTAGGAGTAAAATGGCAGGGTGTTGTGCCAGGTGTATGTTTAACTTCTTAGGAAACTTCCAAACTGTTTTCCAAGTGGCTGTTCCATTTTGTATTCCCACCAACATGATATGAGTTCCAGTTGCTTTGCATTGTCACCAACATTTGATACAGCCAATCTTACTAACTTTAGACTCCCAAATATGTGTAGTGGTATTAGAATTGTGGCTTAAATTTATATTTACTTAATGAATAATGATGTTGAATGATACTTCATGTTCTTATTTGTCACTGAAAATATCCTATGGTCAAGTATTAATGACATTGATTGTTTTCAGATTAGTTTTTGAGAGTTCTTTATATATTCTGGATATAATTCCTGCATCAGATTATGGTTTGTAAGTACTTTCTCCCATCTGTGGCTATTCTTTAAAAATCCTTAGCAGTCTGTAGGCTGGGCGCGGTGGCTTACGCCTGTAATCCCAGCACTTTGGGAGGCCGAGGTGGGTGGATCACCTGAGGTCAGGAGTTCGAGACCAGCCTGACCAACATGGATAAACCCCATCTCTACTAAAAATACAGAATTAGCTGGGCATGGTGGCACATGCCTATAATCCCAGCTACTCAGGAGCCTGAGGTAGAGAATCGCTTGAAGCTGGAAGGTGGAGGTTGCAGTGAGCTGAGATCGCGCCATTGCACTCCAGCCTGGGCAACAGGAGCAAAACTCCATTAAAAAAAAAAAAAATCCTTAGCAGTCTCATGCCTATAATCCCAGTGTAGCAGGATGAGCCACAGACAAAACTCCTCAGACACTGAGTTAAAGTAGGACGGGGTTTATTCGGCCGGGGGCATCGGCAAGACTCCTGTCTCAAGAGCCGAGCTCTCTGGGTGATCAATTCCTGTTCCTTTTTAGGGCTCACAACTCAAAGAGGGTATGTGTGAGAGGGTTGTGATTGATTGAGCAAGCAGGGGGTACGTGACTGGGGGCTGCATGCACCGGTAATTAGATGGGAACAAAACAGGATAGGGATTTTCACAGTGCTT